GAGTACAATGGGAATTAGAGTACAATTATTCTTGATTCAGTGGCATATGCTTGTTATATATTTTTTCTCCTTTCCAGCAAGTAAAAGAAAAATTCCATGAAGTGGAATTCTCTTCTATATGGCCTCGTGTCCCAGACAGGGTCTGGGATTTTGTTTGTGCCTTCTGAATATATCAGAGGCCACTGCGTTCACATCTTCACTTACCTTGGAGAAGGAAGTGGGCTCTGTTTTGCAAGAGGACTGCAACACGCAGTTACGGTCCCAGTGCAAACGGTGACTTTCTCTGCAGAAAGTCCCTGGATGTAGCAGTCTTTGTCCACGTACAATCTGTGACAGAAGCATCCTTTGCACTCGAGTAGTCTTCCACCTCTGGCACCAAATGTGCTCAGCAGTAGATGAGGGAGGTGAGTGCAGAAATAGAAATGAAAGCAAGAGGAATTTGGGTTCACCTGTAAAGACTCTGCCAGGTTAATTAAATTTTTAAATGTTAGGTTTGTGTTCTTACGCTGAAGAGTGTTTTTCCCCTGTCTGAATTAGGTTCCCCCTTCCCATGTCTGAAAGTGCAATTTCGGGGCATATTGAAATATATTTGAAGTATTCTCTTTCGATTAGGGAATGTGAACTTCTTTTAACTGTAAAATTTCCACGTTTATACTGCCTGGTTTTTGACAGATATTTCTTTTTTCTTTTGAGTAATGGCAATAGTTCTGTAATGCACTTTATTCAAATCTGTGCGTTTAGCCTTATGTCTATTGTCAGGTACTTTTTTCCATGAATTACCAGTCAGCACACAGTTTGGTAATTTGTTAGTCTAAAGCCCTCATTATTTCAAACTCTTTTAGTGTAATATATTATTAGACATTTAAAATAAATTTAAACTGCTAGACAATTTAGTTTTTATAACCTTAGGAATATTCTCAAAGGGGAATAGAATGTTATTTCAGCAAAATGAATGAATTGAGAAAATAACCAAAATATACATTAAATTTGGGTAATGTAAACTTAAAAATGGATTACAGAAAATCACGTTGCTTAATAGGATGTTTAAATAACTCCTAGAAAGACTTGGAATATTTTTAATGAACATTTCATTTAAGCGTTTTGTTTCAATATTTTTGAGGCTTTTTGGGTGGTGGTGTAGTTACTGAAATACTTTTTGGTTGGGTTTTTTTTTTTGGTTGTTGTTGCATGGACAGCTTTGCAATAAGCTGTCCTCTTCTATCTTCGAGTGTCTTGAAAACAAAATGAAAAAATGTTTGTCTTAAATGTTGTTCTTCATTAGAGTAGAACACATTAAAAGATGATCTCTGTTGATATTAAGAGTCAGCATCTGAAATCGGTTCATTGACTGCTAGTAAGATGATTTACACCAGTAAGACTTGGTAGTATGAATTTAATTATCAAAATGAGCCGAAGAATTAATTTACATCTAGGAAATTATAAACTTGTGGGGTTAGTACTTGATAGTTCGCTTCACTTACGTATTCCATACTGAAATTTAAGTTTGTACCGATATTTTTAAAGCAGTTATCTTCTTTTAAATTTTTCTCTTGTTGCTGCCATGCCTCTTTCACGTTGAACTAATCTCAGTCTGTCAGTGTTAGAGAAGGTCTGTAATATATTTTTCCCGGCAGCGGTTCTTTGTTGGTTGCAGTATCTGTAAAAGCTAAGGACGTTAAGGAGTAATGGAGTATATCTTTCAAAGCACAAGTAACAAGTAATAGGAGTGTTTTGACATAGTGTTTAAAGAAAAAAAAAAAAATCATGGAATTTGGTTTCCAGCCCAGAACTTTGACTGACTGTCTGGGAATTCAGTGCTGTATGTCAGTGTTATGTAGAATTAGTGTATGTGCTTTGGAGTGGTTCTTTACAAATATAAAAGTGTCCTGCGAGTTTAAGGCCAGTGTATTGATGGTTTACAATGTTCTCTGTCAGCATTGAAGAAGACCTACATTCCTGAGGAAGTGCTATGTCTCCAAATAAATATTTCTCCTCCTTCTGGAGAAGCAGAAGTGTTATCTATCTTGTCTGCAGTCTGACTGTATACTATAAAAATTCGTTGTTCTCACAGGCTTGTTTCAACTTTCAGATTTCAGTGTACTGTATCTGTTGTCTTCTCTGTGTTTGCACTGATGTCGCTGCCTCTCTCATTGACCTTGTTTACCTTGTTCTGAAACTCCTGGAGACCTCCAAAGACATTGCAAATTTCATAGGTTCTTTGAGACAGCAGATGTTGAGCACGTACAGACAGTTTTACTAGAGCAAAAATTGACGTCTTTATTATTGTCTCTTTAAAGTCTTGTTTCCTTAAAATCACTACAACTATCCATCCAAGCTGCCATTTACAAATTTTTAGTTTGATAAAGACAGTTCTTACAGCTATTTCAATTATTGGTTAGATTTTCTTTTTTCCTTAGGAAAAGGCTTGTTCCTTAAGTGTGTTCTTGGGGAGTCCCAGCTGACAGCATCCTGACAGCGATGATGAAGTGAATGCAGGTGTTTATCATCTTAACAGAACTCCTAGTCTGCATGCTGCTATATTCCATTTCTTTTTTCCTCCCTAAGCAAATAGCACGGAATAAAAGAGAATGTTAGGTGTGATTCAGAGTAATGTTTGGTTATAGAAATCCAGGCGAGGGGTAACTGGGATTCTTTAAAGATCTTGTTGTTTTATGCAGAGGAGAAATGACATATTTTAAAATGTCATAGCAAGAAATGAAAAGGTTCGGTGTTGGTTTGGATTAGACAAGACAGAAAATTAGAAAAATGATTAAAAATAATTTTAATGATTGGGAAGGGTGTATTTTGAGATGGTGAGAGAATGCAACTGAAGAGTGTTATTCTGGCAGTGAATGAAGACCTCACCCACCATTCAGAAGCAAGGGAAACTCCTTCTTCTCCCAGCTACTGGTAGGCAAAGACGTACTCGCATCTCCCACTTTCTGTGCTCATTGCTCACAGCAATGACAATGGAGTCTCTGGTTGACTGAGCTTTTGTGGCTGCTTGGGTGGAAATTGCTCTGGCAGCCAGAAGTGGCACAGATGTTGCCTTCTGACTTCAGCATCCCGCTTTCCTCGGTGCCTCTCGCACTGCACAGCAGCAGTCCCCCTCTGCTCGCAGCCCTGGGCTGTGGCAGCACACGCTTGGTCTCTTAGCAGAAGGCTGCAGCCAGTGAAGTGAGACTGATGCCAGAGGACTAAAAATTTGATTCGGGTTTAAGCTTAACATGTTTCACTAACCTATTTCCTAGCTACGCACTCTGTTCTACCTGGCTGCAAAGTGCAGCTTTGGGTAGTCTGCTCTCAGACATCACCAGTGTCTGCTCAGGACTGCGTAGCTGGGCCTGCAGGGGAATTGCTTTCAGTGCTGAGTGTTTGACAGCTCTCACATCTGATGTTTCAGCATTATCTTGTCTCTATTTCAGCAAGGGTGCAAAGGTGAGCACGTATGGAATTGACAAAGATGTCTGTCAGTAGATGAGTTCTGCAGTCACACGGAAGGGCAGTGTTGACAGCTGAGCAGTTGTGGCTATTTCTGTTTGAGGAAGTCTCCTTCCTTCCAGAGGTGCTACTTTAGGCTTTCCCAAGCTGTGGGTACCTCCTGCTGACCACCTCTGTCTGAATTAACCATCTTCCATGGTACGTAAAGGGAACGTGTGGCCAATGCAGTACAATTTGTGCCTATGTTCCTGTTATGTGTTGTTAAGTGCACCAAGTACACAACACCTTACCTTTTAGAGTGATACTGCAGTGGGACCTCTTTTCTGTATTCTACTGCAAGTGGTCAGCCAAGCAACACAAAACAGCTAGCAATGTGTTGTTTCCTTTATTGCACACAATTACATGTATGGAAACAGCATGTTGTTGTTATCAGGAGAGAGCTTATGGGGGAGCAGCCCTTGGACATTCCCATGTAATATGCAGCATCTGCAGATTGAAAACCACTGTGTATGCGCAGCTCTACTGCAGACACTTCCTTCCACACACGTGTCCTACTGCTAGAAGTTAGTAATAGGCTGCAACATGGTGCCTAGCACCTTCCAGTCATGTGTTTTTTGTTGTTGTTTGTTTATTTTTTTTTTTTAATGACAGTAACTTTAAAGAATGGTTTGGTGTCGCTTCTTTTGCTGTTTTCCTCTAGCTCTCGATCGTTCTTCAGTTATAATAGTTTCATGATATCTTGGATATTCGACCAACTTTTTTTTTCCCTGTGTTCCCATACTCATCCTTGTCAGGTTCCTTTTTCAGAGCTGAGTTATTGTTCAGTGTTTGCTATGGTGAAGTCTGCATTCCCCACTCGCATTCAAGTCCCTGCTGGGACAGATGATGTACACTGAGAAAATGTAACCATCCCAAGGCAGACTTCTGAGACAAGTTAAGGTCAGTTTGAGGAACAATTTGGCTGTGAATTTCAGGAGTGTTTCCATCAGGAATAGTTCCATGGAAACAGTCTTCCTGATGAGTGTTTCCAAGGAGGCTTCAGTCTAATAACCATTAATTTCAAAGGACAGAGGGTTGCAGATTTTCCTGCACATCACTGTGATTATTTTGGGATATTTTTAGTCAAATTCTGAAACGCATTTCAAAACCAACTCTCTTGATGTTTTGATGGCATATGTCACTTAGCATTTGAAGGTAATGTTCTTGATATAAAGGAAAAGTGAGAGATGATTATGGAGTGTTCAATTATTATTTTTTTATTTAACAAAGGAGCATCCCCAGAGTTACCTATTTTACCAAAAAAATATATATTTTTTCATGAAGGAGTAAGCATATGGTCTCCTTACTCTTTTGTTACAATTCAGCAGTTTCTTTGATGAAATTAAGAAGCCAGTGTATGTTTATACATACTACGTAGAGCAAAGAATAAGATAACTTCAGACAGTTGTCTCAGGAGTTAATGTTTTCTGTGACCCAAGTATCCTGGTTTGCCTTTAAAAAAAAGGGGGGGGGGAGCTGAAATGTAGCTTTCAAAAATGCTGCTATTAAAAAGAATGAAAAAAGAAAAGAAGGAAAAAAATAGAAAGAGGAGGGGTGGGGGGGAGAAGACTTGACACCAGAAGCTCTGTCATACCAGAGTTTCTCTCGGATGTCTGGAAAAAGTCTTATACTTCTGGGATGCTTTCCAAAATATTTTCAGTGACCATTGCCACAGGCGTGAACTTCTTAATGCATTTTGCAGTAATCTCCACCACAGTGAAATTGATTACTGTCTGAAAGCTTTTAATGATAACAAGCAAGTAGGGCAGCACAAATACCATGAACTAATTTGTGTCTGTGTATTTTGTTGCATCTTCAGGAGTCTTGCAGAGACAGATGTGTTGCCTCAGGAAAATCCTGCTTAATTTTTTTTTTTTTTTCCTAATTATGTAATTGCTTATTTATCATTTGATTTAAAGGGATTCTTTTTTTCACACATGCATGCACACATGCCTCTCTGTGTGCATGCGCACACAAAAGATCTGGAAACAGTCCCTCAGATATTTCTTTAGGTATCCAAAAAAAGTGTACGTTGATTTCCTTAATTTTAATGTTTTCTAGGATTTATTTTATAGAAACTGAAATGCATTCAAAGGCTTGGAGTGATTTTAAGAAATGGCTTTCCAGCAGGAAAAAAAAAGGTATTATAGCAAAGGTGTATCTTATATACCTACAAGGGAATTTCAGGAGGCTTATAAATGAGGGTCTCTCTTTTTATGTGCAGGTTGCGGGAGTTGAAGAAGCTGAAAATACAGTTAAACTTGTTTTTTTCATTTTATTTCAGTGTTAACCTAGTATTCCTAATGCAAGAAAAACTTCAGAACTGAAATATGAGCTGCACACCTATTCAACGAGAATAGGTTTCAGGAATTACGTTTTTTCTTTAAAGACAAAAAGACGTACTCCCAAATAAGCAAAGTTTTAAACTATATGAATGGAAAGCCTTACGCAACAGAGAAGTTAGATCCCACAGGCACTGGTATGTCAGTGTCACTGTGCCTTCTGCCAGCACGGACGTGCAGCACTAAGGCCCTCCATCCTGTGCTGTGGCTCCCACAAACCACAGTGATTGATGGATGATCCGCAGTAGGTGAAGAGTGAAAAATACGAACTTGAGCACCAGCAGAGAAAAACAAGCTGTCATAAGCAGGCTTCATTACAAGGGATAAAAAGGTCAAAATATACTTCCACCCCCCTGCCTTCCTTCAGAGCAGCCACTAGACGCATCCAAGCAGAATTTTTCCAGACTGTTAACTGGTTCATCAGTCGGGGCTTTCTCTCAATTTTAAATGCCAGCACCACTTCAGTGCAGAGGAATTGCTGGCTTCTTTCCCAGACAAGATTTCCCAAATTCAAAATGACCTTTCAAGATTCTAACTAATAGGAGCTGAACAGAGATTTCCTCTCCATTAGGCCTTTTCTCAGATTGATCCTTCCACTGAGAGCACCTCCCCCAGCACAGAACAGGGAAAGCCCAGCCCTTCTACCTGGGATGATAAAAACCTCTTTTGAAAAGGGGCAATCTTAAATCGTGTTGTTCTACATCCCTGAAACTATTACACTTCTCTTGGATGCTCTGATTATGGAAAGGCACGGGGAGTACCAGCGAACTATCTGGTGTTTTTTATTTTGGATCCAACCATTCAAGGTCTGAATTAACACAATGGGATTCACGGTTACCTGCCATAGGGCTGAGGCAGAGGGGTGGGAGGAGTGGCAGAAGAGCCCTGAAGCAGGGAATAAGGCTGGTGGGTGCGTGGTTGTGCCATGCCAGCAGGCTGGCTGGGCTGGAGGAAGGGCTTACAGCATCATCCTGCACTGCAGCCTGTGCTGTGGTGTATAGTCCCTCGGGGACAGCAAGGTCAGGTCAGCATGAAAAGGGTTGGGGGAGGCAGAGGAAGCAGGATCCTAATTCTTATCACCCAGATGGTGTTCTGGCTTCTCATCCATGTCTTGCGATTGTCTTGATGCTGTTGTGATCTTCTGTAAGGGTTTCACAAAGGTTTCATATGCTATTGAACACCGTTAGTGCAAACATCTTATGGCATTGATGGTTCAAATGAAAGCTTGGGTAACTACTGAGAGAGGGTTTGGCAGAGAGAGGTGGAGGCACAGTCAGCCTGGTGCCTGCTCTGTGCTGCACAGTGAGGAATGGGCTGTACATTTCCCCTTCTGCCATTCAGCATCAGCGCAGTTACATCTAGCTGTGCCCTCTACAGCTACTGGGAAATGAGGCAAGGTAACGTAAAACCCAAGATTGAGAAACATGGTATTAACAGGTAACTGAAAGGCAGTCCTGTGAAGTCTTGAAAAGTAGCAGGATAGTAAATGCCTTGTAAGAATGACAGCAGTGACTGTTTCTTGAAAGGATGAAGTATTTCAAATACAGAGTTGTGAAGTTTTATGGTTCTATTCCTGAAGAAGTTTGGGCGGAAATAAACTGGCAGAAACAAATACAATACAGTTTCTAATTGAGAAAACACACCGTGGGAAATGAATGCCATACTGTAAAATGAATGCCAACAACAGACTAAAAACTGAGTACACCTTAGCATCAGGTGTAATCCCACAGCTGAATTCAGGAGGAACACCAGAGATGTGACACATCTCTTGAATTTTTAATAACATCTTGTGGGAGAAGGTACCAAAAGATTGGGAAAAATAAGTGGACGTGTAAAGAAGAGTTTAGGAAAGATTGCTGTAAAATCCAAGGTACCAGCTGCCATCGAGAAGACCAGCTCAAACTTGAAATCACGTGATTCTGTCATCAGATCTCCCTTATTTAGCTGCAGTTTTCGGTTTGTCATCTTCAGCTTTGTTTTGTATGAGGATCACTTCTCTGACATGGTAGAGGATAAAGTCTTGTAACATTGAGGGAATGCAAGATTTGGTATTTCTGCTTCTTTCTCGTAGCAGTCTGGGTTACCATCCTTTGGTAACATCCTTTGTCACATTTTTATATTGAGATTCTCAGTTGGCAGCTCTCATTTTATTCTCCAGCATTTTCCTAGAATTGTTTCTGTTCAATGCTGCATAATGGTTCTTCTGTGTCATGGTTGATATTTAATAATATGTATAGCTACATGTGACAATTTTCTAATGTCATGTGCAATTTTTCCTGTCAATACAGGTACATGTGATAAAAACTGCTTCCTTCATACTGTACATCGGCTGTGATGCAGCACAGGTCCAGAGTTCCCACCTGTGTGCTGATGGAAGAACAGACAGGGGAATGGAGGCGTCGTCCCCCTGCCTGTGGAGGAGTCTCAGGGATTGAGATACTCCAACTATTTTTTTCTTAAAGTTTTTGCTCAAAAACTTTAACTCGAGCACTTCAGGAGTCATTTGTATGTAGCACTTTGGGAGTCATTTGTATGTATGTGAGTGCTTCTTGATGCCTGGGTGGCTGACTTCATTGAAGAATTAGGATCTGTTGTGGCAAACTCAGCAACTGCAATAGGAAACTTAAAACAACATCCTTTTAGCTGACAGACATCAGCTGTCTCTGCTGAAAACACTGTTAGGTATGTGGTTCTTTCTTGGAATAGAGGATCTGCACGGTGGTCAACGATGATCTGGTTTCAGCGGGCAAAGAAAAAGTCTCGGAGAAGTGTTTGGTTTCAGTGCTTTATCATCAACAGCTAAAACCACGTAGGGGCTGATGGCAGAAGGCTGGAGGGCGAGATGCATAGGTGGAAGGAACACGGTCTCGTCATCTGCAATTTATTAAGTATTCTTTTGCTGTGCTTTTTGTAAAAATGTTAGAATGTTTACATACGCGTTGTTTTTCTGTCAAAGCAGCTCCTTCGGCATTTTATAGACAATTTAGAGTTATGTTTTCTACAGCTGTACCCAGGAGTGTGTTCAGGCCTGAATTCCGCTAAGTTGTCTGTAACTAAATGACTTGCCTTGTTTTTCTACAAAAGTTTGGAGTATTATGAAAGCATCTTACGCTTCATTTTTCAGCTTTAGAGCCAAGTGTGGTAAAGCAAAGACCATTGTGAAGATGCTGTGTGGCTTTCTAAGCAGAGAGAAAAATAAACCGAAATAGAAACTCAGTAGAATGCTCTTGGGTATATTTAAAGTTAGAATATGGTTAACTTTTGGATATTGATTTAAATGCTATAAAAGTTGCTATGAAATGTTCTAAGAGTTTGCATTTCCATCAGATGCCACGGAGTGGGTTATTCTGCACTGGCAGTGAAAGCAGCTCCTGGATGTAAATGGGCCTGAGCCTTTTCTCTTCAAGAGTAAGCAGGCGTATTTCTAGCACACCCCACCAGCATTTCTTGGCACTTTTTTTTCTTCTTTCTTTAATATAGATTGTTTTGGTTCAGCAGAAGAGCCACTACTTCTTGTGTCTGTCTCTAAAATGGGGACAACGATGCAGCCATCCAAGAGAGTACAGCACTACAGGACATCTTCGTTTTGGTCTTAACTTCGTGCCTCTGCTGCTTAACGTCTTTGTCAAGACGTTAACGTCTTTGACAGAGGTGTTTCGTGGATACCTTCATTTGCTATTAGTGTCTTGAGAGCTGTCCTGTCAGTCCAAACGACGTACAGAATAAAACCTCGCTGTAAAACAGCCTTTGCCACACTTTTCCAGCATGGTCTGTGCTTCCAGTTGGGAGCTTGATTGCTTTGGACTTGGATTCCCCACAATTAGTGTCATCAGTTCGGTTTGGGTTGGTGTCGTGACCCCTAGATTGGAAACTGGTGTTCTAAAACTTATTTAAAAGCGGTCAGCAAATTGCCACTTAATTCCCAGTGACGTAAGTGAAAGTGCCATTAGGTCAGCGTTCACCTCAGACGTGCCTCGCAGTCTGAGCACCGTGTGTTTGCCTTGTCCTGCCTCAATTCTGCTTCTGGTCCTCAGGATGTACAACGAGGAGTAGTTTGTCCTGCGTGCTGCTGCTGTGCAGTCCCTGGCCTGAAGGGACAAATGAGAAAACCCTTTTTACTGACGGGAAGATGAGGAAGTGATTGAACCATTTCTTTCCCTTGAAGAAATCTGTTTGCCTTACAATTCAGCTAGCTGCAGTTGTGTCCAAGGTTTCTTCTGCTGCTGTTCTGACAGAACCTACAAAGCTCCTAAAGCAGAGGTAGGGGGAAAAAGTAGCTTTACGTTGTCCTCTGGCTGAAAGCAGAATCAAGTTCATTAGATCTGAAGTCCTGGCTGGGCCCGTGCTGGGGGCAGGGAGCCGCCTTTGTATTTTTTGCATCCCTTGTGCCATTTTGGACTTCAGCAGTATTTATTTTTAGTATGTTTAAACACTGCAGAAGGGAAGGGGCAGTTGTAATATGGCATATTTACATCATGCTGTCAGTTCCTGGCAGCTTATTTGCCTGTCAGAGAGCAGGAGAGAACTAGGCCATTAAGGATGTGAGTGCTACTTATGCCCACGAGTGGTGAAACATCGTCTCAAGGGTCAGAAGGCCTTCCCCGGCTAGCAGGTTGGTTTGTTTTTCTAAGGTGCATTATGGGGATTTTTTTCATGTCATGGAGACAGGAATGGGCCACGCTACCTCCCACTTTTTCCCTCTGCTCCTCTACACTGCATAGGAAAGAGAGCAGCGAAGTCTGTGGCCATGAGATCAGCGTGTGCTGGTTTTTCCCTTCATGTCATGCTTAATTTTTCCTCTCATGTCATGCTTAAGTTCTCTGCCCCTTTATAAAAATAAAAATCTATAAATAAAAAAGAACAAATGCTGAGGGGGACAAACTGGACCCACAGCTATGTGCATGTCGTCACTTGTAGAAGTGCGCCTAGCCCCATTCCTCCCAGGCTTCGTACATTCCCCGTTCCTTACGCTGTCAGCTTCTCCGGATGGGAAACATGCACAGATACAGTGCTGGCTGGAGAATTTTTGCCCAGCCATAATGTGATATTAATTGAGCTGAGGCTGAAATGTTGTTGCATTCATCTTGTGTTAAATTAGCTCATGCTCCGTGTGTGTGTATACATATGATTTTTTTCCTCTTTCTTTGGAAAAAATGTTGCTCTGGGTTTCGCTGCCATGCTTGAATGCTTCAGTAATACCTTTCTCCTGGAATTCAGCAATACTTAGGTCTGATCTCTCGTATGTGACACGCTGTCTCTGTTAGGATTTCAAGCCTAGGCACCCTGTGATTTCCCTTTCTTGGAAACTGCGCTGTCTCAGCATGCGGGTAGGAGGCCATGTAAATAAATACCAACCACTTCTTAGCCTTCAGTAGGCATTTCCTTTTTCCTGGTGGCTACAGAAGAAACACTTTCTCACAGTTTGGCACCAAGCGTTTATAAAACTTTCCTGCTTCTGGAATTTTCGTTTAGACAATCAGATTCTTGGTATAGCTTTTTTCATTGATTTCTATTTTTACTCATCTGTAGTTGCCCGGTTTATCAGTAAACTGTGTCTGTCAGAATAAGCACTTAGCAGAAACTTCTAAATTTATGGTAAGGGAATAGTAAAGGATTCTAAACAAATTTTCTAATAACGAAAGATTGACTTAAAGAATAAAAATCAAGCTTATCTGGTTTTCTTAGTTACGATGGTATAAATAACATAGACTTTTCTGCCCAAAATGTGTTTTATTATCTGTCCTAAGTGCTTAAAATCAAACCCAAACATTTTATCATGTAGTCCAGCATTCAACTGGAAAATATGATTTGTTTTAATCCAAATGTTAATATGTTTTCAATTTATGTATTAGAATATTTTTTCAAGTGTGGGCCACTTTGTCGGGGAAGCAAAGCTAACGTGTTGTTACCTTTTAAATGCTACCAGTACTATTTAGCACATAAGTTTATAATATCAAAACAGATCACATCAATCAAAGGCAATGTTAGAGGACAGTGCATGTCTCCTAATTTTTATCTGTATGTATTTTATGCATAAGTTCCATATTTAGTTTTATTTGCTACTTATTCGTTTAATTTTTTTTGTTAGTAAATTGCTAATTTACTTTGCTTAGTTTTATTTCTCTCAGTGGTAACGCTTACTGAATAGTTGACAGTATCCTCTCCTTTCAGTTTGCTGATCTCAAAGGCTCAGAGAGCACATATTCCATGCGAGCAGAATACAGACGTGAGCTCTGACAAACAGCTGGAGGCTGGCACAGAACTAGACTCCTTCACTGGAATTCTTGGTAGATGGGAGAGTGCAGAATATTCTATATGTGATCTTCTGTGGGCATACTTTCTAGGATGCCTAAGCCAGAGGCAATTTGAAGATAGATCAGATACTTTTTACGTAATACTCCCACACTGGATTTCGTAACTTTTGTATTTAACAAAACAAGACAGTAGAAACCATGCTTTACCAGCATGCCCTTTTGAAATATGCTTTTTCCTCTACTGAGTTCTGTTATAAAGCTGTCTAGGAAAGTGAGCCATTGTTGGACACATCACTATAATATTTTTATAGTTTCACTCTTAGATACATTCTCAGCTAGTTTAGTTTTGCAATCTGCTGAAGCTTAGCCAAGTTAAATTGTTTCTGCCCTCCCAGCACACACATCCCAGTCTAGCTAGAATTTCTTCCAGTTCTTTGCAGTGGAAGTTACTTCTGTGTATTTCTTCTGGAAACAACATGGAAATATGTATTGAGAAAAACGGGTCTTAGCTAGGCTTGGCCCTTTGTCCTTGTCTTAGGACACGATAAAGTGTTATCACAGGCATGTTTCTTACCTGAGTCAACCACGTAATGTCCCTGTTCGCAATTCTCCAGCAAGTGCTCTGGATGCTAGACTTCACAGCTAGTTCTAACTATGGCTAGATGGAGGCCAGGCAGTCTTGCTTCATGTTGGCAGGTAAGGGACTGTGAGAGAATCCTCAGCTTTCTTCCTTTTGTGATTTATTTTGGAGTTTTGCTGCGGTTTATCTGTCAGTGAGAGGACATAAAGGAAGTCTAACACAACAGGAACAAGTCATAATCATTGTGCTTTTTTTTTTCTGACCACATAAAGAAGCTTGAGTGTGTTACTAGTCCTTAGTTTAGAGTGTCATGAAGCAAGAAACTAAGAAAAGGTGAAACTTGACTGATGAGACTGCTGTAAATTAGAGTGGTGATGCAAATGAGAAAGGAGTTCACAACAGCAATAGTGAATAGATTATTCCTGCCATGTGGATAAATGAGCTGGTTAGATTGGAGGTCAGTCTTGCTTATGTACAGTATATATAAAACCTTGTTTTTCCTGTGATTTTGTATTTTCCACTGGTGAAAAGATTATCCCTGGGATGAACAAATGCCAGCACAAAATAAGTGATAACTGATTAATTTCATATCACAGGTTACTCCAGTTGCTACACAGACTTGGTATGAGTGTTCTGTGTTGATTAGACTCTATTTAGTTAAATTTTACCCTTTTATTTTTAGAAATCAGAGGAATGAAGAAGAATAAATGTCGATATTTATAAATTTCTGATGGAGTTTTAATTATTATTTTTTATTAGGAAACATTTTAATAGGGTTAATGAAAAACAACTGGAATTGAGGCTTCATTTCTGTTGCAGACGTGTCTATGAGAGATAACCAGACATTTCAGTTTGGGGTATTTCCTTATAATAAATGTCCCAAAGGCATTGCTGACTAAACGGAGCATGCTGGTATCAGGCTGCTTTGAGACTTATCACATAGCATTGGTTGGTTTAATCTGTTTTGTTTTGTTTTGTTTTTCCTAGGAAAAAGAGAAGAAGTATATGCTTCCTCTGGACAACTTGAAAGTGCGTGATGTTGAAAAGAGCTTCATGTCTAGCAAACATATCTTCGCGTTGTTTAACACAGAGCAGAGGTAAGAGAATGTGCTGTTCTGCAGATAGTGCTATAAAGGTGCATCTGGCCAAGCATTTTAATAACTGGGAGTGCAGTTCTGGTATTTCCACTGTGTGGAGTGAACAAAGATCTTGATACTTTTGATTTATCTGCTTCCTTGCTGTTGCATAATCATGGGATGAAAGGTTAGTGTCCTCCTAGCCACTCGTGGGGTGAAACAGCTCCATGATTAGTCATCTAGTTTTTCTGTAGGGCTGAATAATCATCTCCTGATCCTATTCTTGTTTTGTTTGGCAATCTCCTAGGCTTACCAAAACATTCATGACTTCTGTACCTTGTGACAAGATTTAACTGGTGTAAATCACAAAAGTGTCATTGCTTTCCACTTTCTCCAGTGGAAAAAAACTTGCTTGCCTGTAATCTTCGGAGTCATTCTATTGTTTGTTTGGGTTTAAATACAGCTGAATGGAGAACAAATGAAATTCCTCTGCCTCTCTAATTCACAAGAATCTTTGCTTTGTAGTGTTTTGACTCACCCTTTTTTTCCAGACTCCGTCCGCCGATTTAAGTGGTTTGGGCACTCTGTGGAAGCCTGCTGAGGGGGCACAGCTAATTCAGATAACTGTACACAAATAAGTCAAGAAAACATGAGAACAGGCAAACAAACAAACAGAAAATACGGTGACACGTATTTTCATTGATTTATTACTGAGGAAAAGAGTTACATTTGCAGCTAGCTTGGTGGAATTCCGTTTCAGCAGATGAGGTGCAAGTTCTAGAAATTATTTTTCAGGGAAATAAGTAAAATCACCTCTGTTGGTAACATGAATCGATGCCATTGTTCTCCTCTTCTTGTCTGCTAAGTCCCTTCACACCCACTCCCCCCCTCAATCACCAAAGCAAGGCAATCCAGTCAGATGTTGCACAAGTTGATGAGGGCTGGATGTGGCTCCCTGCAGAGCCAGCTGTTGTTGCTCCCGAACTGGCCAGAAATAGTCCTTTCAGAAGCAAAGAATGCCCCTCCCTCCTGCACAGTAAAAGCAAAGGACAGGGCTTCTGGGCTGTCAAGTTTCTGCTGGCTCCAGAAACATGAGGACGCAACGTGAGTCTCACTCTGAACTGCCCCGTGAAGGCTTTGCCTACATCTGCTGACATCTCAGCTAACCCACATGTGGACATTGTCTGCCAGAGAAATGCCCTTTGAAAGTATGTCTCTCAAATACTTGCTGGGAATAAGATTTCAAACACTTGACCACTTGTATTTCTGGAGCACAGAAAAACACTTGGAAAAACTGTTCATGTTTTGAAAAAGCTTATATGATCTTCAGATGCTGGACAATAATGTAATTCAAGCTATTCTGCTATAGATACTCGTGAATCATCCCGCTATTGCATTTACTTCAGTCAAGAAAGATAACTTTGTCCTGGTGTTATAATCTGTTAATTATAGCTTGATATTTCTCCTTAGTTTGGTTAACGTTCAAATGCTTTCATCATCTTAAATATTAATCGCCGAACTGCTGTGAAAATCCAAGAGAAGCATTCATTTCCATTGGCAAATTTGGGATTTGGGGTGTTATATAGCTGTACTTGTGCTTTTTCTCCAGATCTTCATACTCACTGGACAGCAAGGATTTCAAAGTCAGATGTCTAAAATGTTTGCCATGTCTGCAATAACCCCGCCCGTTCGGGCTGTGAGCAGACCTTAAAGCGTCTGCAAGCTGCTCTAAAAACATCCTTCTATCTATATGGGCATGTTAAGACATGACAGCACAGTGATAAGATGACAAAATAACTGCCGTGGGAGAGGCTGTTGATGAGGACAGTCCTCCAGCTTGAAAGGAGGCAGAATTTGTTCTTGAAGAAGCGTTTATTGTTCTCATTACAACGGCAATCCCTCCGTTACTGTGAAACAGATGATTTTCTATTTTTCAAGATTTGCCTTCTTGCATAAACCGATGAAAAGAAGCTTAGTATCACTTTGCTTTCCCTGTCTCCCAAATTCATAGTTTGTGTCAGCAGAAGCAGGGATCTGTAAGGTCCCTTCCAACCCAAACCACTCTGATTCTCTGATACTGCAACTGGAGTGAAATGATCAACCCTCAGCTGGGGACTTGTGTGCCCTTTCCCCCTTTCCTAGGGAAACTGAAACATGGAAATGGTAAAAATCTGTTGAAGTAAGGAGCCTCGTCGTATTATTTTCTGCTGATGTATTGATCTGATTTCTGAATATGTAGGGGACTAAATATTGTTTGCTTTTCCAAAATTCATGTAGTAACTTAGTTTCTAGTTCCTTTTGAAAACCTAGTAATTGGGACAGAAAGCAGCTTTCTCTTTCGGATTTTACTGACGGAGGGTTCTGGCTATGGAAATTTTTTACTAGTTAAGACGTAGGTCATTAAAGAACAAAGGCAAAATCATCTGCTCTGGCTTGATTGACAATAGCATGGAGATTATTCTCTATCTCTTTTTTCTGTAATCTATAGGGATTTTTTTTTCCTTGACTGTGCAAACTTTCGTAGTGTTCAATTAAAATATTTTAATTTTCAAGCAAAGTCTCTGTCGGAGAAGAACTTTAATCAGCTTGTTCTCATTTTCATTCCCAGCCCCTCACTGCATAGGTATTTGCTGCAGCCATATGTTTCTGATACTGTACATTTCAATAGTTTCCTGGATTATGCACTGCATTTTTTCCATTTATGAAAACCTTTCCAGTTCTGAAATACAGTTACCAGGAAAATCCTCATTTCACTGCATAGAAGGAAAAACCATCTTGAGTCAGGAGGCTTGGGGATAGAGGCAAAAGGAAACTAACAGTATCTGTCATTTTGATTTACTGCAGAAGTCAACAGTTCTCTGACAGGAATCAAATGTGACTTGGTAATGTATAGTAAATGGAGACTGTGATGATTGATTTCACAGTGAAGATAAATTCTCATGAAACGAACGTAATTGCACGGCTATGAAAACCCTCCATTGTGAAATAATTAAATTATTTTCCTGTTACTTTCTAATTAAAATATTAAAAAAAAAAAAAAAGGAAAAGGGGGGATAAAAAAGAGAAACTTTGGTGAGAAATAGATACAGTATTGCTTAAAGAGTGGGGATGTGGTGGGGAGGGGTGGTTTAGAGTTTTGTTTTTTTGGCAAACTTAATTTATTTAAAATTGTTGAGTGGGTCTGTGTACTTATTTTATAGACACCCAGAAAGACCTTTGGAGATGGACTCCTCTAGTTCGTTTACCGTACCAGCACTGGGTATTAAAGCCAAGCACATTAGAGCAAGTGCCCTTTGACTCCTGATTTGTTTTTGGCAGTGCCCATCTATGTGAATCTGCCCCTAAGCAACTGCAGTTGAGCTGCAGGGTGAGGCAGTATGTGTCTAAACCAAAGTCTGTCAAGAAAGTGAGTTCTCCTTTGTGCTGACCATCCTTTTCTCTTCCCTTTCTATCTCCACAATAAGCTGCTGGCAAGTCATTTAGACTGGAAAAGAGATCAAATGTAGTCGAAGTATTTGAAAATAACCATACTGTAGAAAAATTCTAATGCATGTGTGTTTTTTTATTTGTTTTGGTTTTCTGCTCGCTCTTGTGAGAAGCGGAGTGATAGGAAGTACAATCATCCTTTTCAGAGCATGATTTTGAGCAATTTTGTGAAGGGCTTGAATCCTGGCCGTTCCTCTCTGTGCAGTAAGGATGCTGCCCTTGAGTACTGCCCAGTATTCCCAGAGGGCTGGAGCACCACTGCAGGAACCCAAGGACCGGAGCCAGCTCTTGAGACTCGTGCGAACACAAGACAGTTGGAGATTTTTCCCTGGTGGTGTGAGGAGATGAAGGGTGGCAGAATTTGTAGATGTAGCTGCTGATGGACTTTGCTAAGCAGAGCTAAGAATGGAGGGGAGAGGATTTTGTTGGCACATGCTTACGTACAGTAGGTTCACCTTTTGTGTCAGAACTGATGGATGTGTGAGACTCTTGTGCAGAGTTCAAGAACAAACAAATCAAATTCTTCCCATCCTAGGAAATTTACTTTGCTTTTAGTATTTCCCTTTGCCTGTTCCTCATGTATTTCCCATAAAAAAATCCAGTGATTGGCACTTTTTCTTTTAGGTAAATACTATGGTTTGGGACAAGAACTATAGTCTTAAATGTGCCTCCCTTTAGGATCTGTGTAATGGTTGCTTATCAGTAGCCTTTCTTATGCAGGAAGCTCTGTTCAAGAAGATGGCATCAAGTCTCCTTGCTCTTCTACTTCTCTGCCCTGCCAGGATGCAGATGAAACAGAATAACCATGTTACCTTCCTCTCCTCTGTGGTTCAGTATCCTAGTAGGATGTGAGGAATGAATTCAAAGCACAAAACCATTCCTCTGTTTGTCTTCACAAGAACAGGTCCCTGAAAATGAAACGCTCCTCAACAATTGTGAAGCAGTGTGACAGCTGCCATCCCTGCGTGAGAGCTGACTGTCGGGGCAGGCTTATTGGACAAACAGATCACTAATCTCAAAAACAGATGAATGCCAAGGGGCAAAGCCATTAAAAGAAAGCTTTGAGGGCACCCAATAGGACTGGAGATATAGCTGCCAGATGATAAATTTTAGCTACTGGCTCCCGAGCACACAGTGTCAGGAATCATACAGCCCAAGAAACTGCATTGTCTGCTAGGACCCAGGAAAGTATACTATGTCTACCGAGTGAGAGGTACAACAATACTTATTTTGGGTACCTGTTGTTGGCTGAACGTTGCCCTAGAAGGGGATGATGGAGCATAAGTCTTCCCTGGGACTCCAAGTGCATTAGAAATTTAAGTACAGATTTTCTTCTTACAGACAACAACTGGTTAACTGCTATGTGTCTATAAGGGAAATTGGGAAGGAGCCAAAATAAAGGGAACTAGTGAAAGGAGACCGGGTCAGGGAGGTGTTGGATGGAAGCCAGGCTAAAGGAGAAAGCCTAAGACGAGATGTATGTTAGTTACTGTTTTTGAATTGCTAAGAAAGCTAAGCCCCAGGAAGAGCTAGAC